GTTTTATTACAGACTGATACAAACTGGCAGAACTATTATAAGCGGAGGAGAATTAGACATCCGATTCGTTTCTAACTAATTCGCTTTAACGAAGTGTGCCTATGACTGCGCACTTAATTCCAACTAGATATAACATAGATCCTCATTGTAATAAATCCGAAATAGACAATGAATCGTTATTTTGTTACATATGCTTAAGCACCATCTACCACGGCACGCGATGATGGATGGTATATTGAAAGAAAGCTAGGAGAGGCCAAACCAGAACATAGCATCAGTCCATGAAGTCGCTTGCTGTCGGTCTGAGCCATAATGGTAGATGTAGACCACTTGGTCGAGGTCTGCATGATAACCACGATCATTGGTTAGAGATTTTGGGTGACATAACTCAGAATAACTCATAATACAGCAGATTCATTCACTCTTTATATTCATCTTGATTTTGAATCCCATTACCCCTTGATAAATACCTTCTCACTCTGCATTTTCAATCAATGTTCCCAAGGTTTAGTATTTTCTTTGGTCATTATTACTACATTATTTCGTCCTATTTCCCTATTTTCATCTCATCCTGCTAAGCTGTTATTTTAACTTGATCTAACTTACATCTGTCTCAGGCTCTATGTGGATGACATCTGTTTGTCTGTTTCATTTATTAACTTCTGAAATCGAATGCACAACTACACAATGGAATTATGATTGGTTCGCTTAGCAGACTGACTGGGTATTTATAATCCGTGTTATAGAATTCCTACTCATTGTTATAATAGCGTCATGAACACCCTTAAAACCCTAGGTTCTGGCTTCAATCCTATGTATTATGGTTGGTAACTATTGTAGAATAGTCGGAATATCGGAAGAAACAACTTCTCAGTACTCACTAGGTTTGGACACTCTTCCAGCTTGTATCGATCAGTGATAAAAGATACCTATCATCTTTTTAAAAATTCGTACAATTATATTAAAGTCATTCAATGAATCCTTGTCGTCTACACAGTGAAGTGGTATTTTGGGTGACTAAATATTTTCGAATAGTGTTTGTCATAAAATGATAGAAATTCAAAGATTCATTGAATAGGTTTTCATATTACTTCAGTATGTATGATATGTACCCACTCTCAAGCTGTCCCGGAATGTATCTAATGATCTTTCGATATTGAAGAAAACCAGTTAAAATCTAATTGTTATCTTTTAACTTCAAACATCTGGAAATATTGAGAGGAATGTTTTAAAAGCGACCTATTACTATCTATTATGAGGAGTGATCGTTAAAATTGGGGGCTCATTGTATTATTCAGTTTTCCTTTAAGGCCATAAATAAAGTAACTAAGTGATCAGTAACATAATGATACTCACTGAGTAATTCAAAAGTCGAAGATCCCTTATAGGAAAAGAGTGAATATTATTCATTTGTGAACTTTCGAGATTAAATAACTAACAAATAATATCACTAATTGAGATCATGAGTTACTTGAAGCTAGACCACCATGGAAAACCTGGAAGTACTGGACGGCCGTTTGGTCCTATTGTGGGACTCCTCAGCAGTGTAAATCCACGACATCGCCTCGCGGGGTAATAAGTTAATCTGCATTTCACTTTCAAAAATACAACGGTAATCGGTTACGTTCATTTTTCGAGTCATTTAGTATTACATGGTCTAAATTTCATAACTGAATGATTTGTGGTTTTCCTTATACCAGTGATAAGTAATCTATGTTCAAATTATTAACTCTGATTGAATCATGTGGTTATATTAGTGTCTTACAATAAAACAGTAATGTAGCCAGTAGTGTTTTATTTACAAGTAAGATTATTGTAGTTGTCATCTAGTTCCAAATATTCATGCTTCATCGATTTTTTTTAAACAATGATACATAAGGTTAATAATTTATAATAATATTTTTTTTATATCCGCATTATCTATTTCTTAAACTTGGAAATAAGAAACTAATACAATTTTCATAACACGAATTAAGAATACAAAAGATGGTATACAAGTGAAGATTTACTCATTAAAAAATATAACAACCTTAGACGAAACTATTTTAATCTATATATATTGATTTTTACACTCATGAATATAAAAAGTACCCATAATTATGATCAATTGCGTACTACATATCATAATGAACATAGTTCAAGTTAATTTAATACAAAAACAATACCATATTTTAAAGAAACATTAAATAAAAGTAAATCACCTAGTTAAATTGAATAAAAAGTATTACACTAAAAATAATGTCAATATTTTACATTGAACAGTCTCTTACTTACTTACGCCTGTTACTCCCAATGGGGCATAGGCCGCTGACCAGCATTCTCCAACCCACTCTGTCATGGGCCATCTTTTCCAGTTCCATCCAATTCTTGTTCATTTTTCTCATGTCTATCTCCATTTCCCGAAGTAATGTATTCTTTGGTCTTCCTCTTTTCCTTTGACCTTCAGGATTCCATGTGAGGGCTTGTCTTGTGACGCAGTTGGGTGCTTTCCTCAATGTGTGTCCTATCCACTTCCAGCGCTTCTTTCTGATTTCTTCCTCCACTGGAATCTGGTTTGTTCTCTCCCACAGTACGTTGTTGCTAATAGTGTCCGGCCAATGGATCCGAAGTATTTTGCGTAGACAATTGTTAATAAACACCTGTATTTCCTGGATGATGGCTTTTGTAGTTCTACAGGTTTCTGCCCCATACAGTAGGACTGTCTTGATATTTGTATTGAAAATCCTGGCCTTGGTGTTGGTTGACAGTTGCTTTGAGTTCCAGATGTTCCTCAGTTGTAAATATGCTGCTCTTGCTTTGCCGATCCGCGCCATCACATCTGCATCAGATCCACTCTGTTCATCAATGATGCTGCCCAAATACGTAAAGGATTTTACATCCAAATCTTCTCCGTCAATTGTGATTGGATTGGTGCATTCTGTGTTGTATCGGAGAATCCTGCTTTTCCCTTTGTGTATATTGAGACCTATTGCTGCTGAGGCTGCTGCCACACTGTTTGTCTTCTCCTGCATCTGTTGTTGCGTTTGGGATAGAAGGGCCAGATCGTCTACGAAGTCTAGATCATCCAACTGCATCTTAGATGTCCATTGTATCCCGCTCTTCCCTTCAGACGTTGACGTCTTCATGATCCAGTCGATCACCAGGAGAAAGAGAAAGGGTGAGAGTAAGCAACCTTGCCTAACACCGGTCTTCACTTCGAACGACTTTGTCAACTGTCCTCCATGCACAATTACGCAGTGTAATCCATCATATGAGTTCTGTATGATATTGACTATCTTCTGAGGTACGCCATAGTGTCGAAGAAGTTTCCATAATAATGTTCTGTCCACGCTCTCAAATGCCTTTTTGTAGTCAATGAAGTTGATGTAGAGTAATGACTTCCACTCAATTGATTGTTCCACAATGATCCGTAGAGTTGCGATTTGGTCTGTACACGATCTACCCTTACGGAATCCTGCCTGTTGGTCACGAAGTTGGGCGTCTACGCAGTCCTTCATTCTGTTTAACAATACCCTGTTGAAGACTTTTCCCGGTATTGAGAAAAGAGTGATGCCCCTGTAGTTATCATAGTTGCTGAGATCGCCTTTCTTTGGTATTTTGATCAGAAGTCCTTCTTTCCAGTCTTTTGGTACTTGTTCCTGATCCCAAATCTTATTGAAGAGAATGTGGAGTATCCTTGCAGTTGCCGCTACGTCTGCTTTTAGTGTCTCTGCTGGGATGTTGTCCGGTCCTGCTGCTTTGCCACTCTATTGAATTAAAAACAAAATCAATTTTGAATACAAATCATAATAAGTCATATATATATATATATATATATATATATATATATATATATTATCAGAATGGGTTTTTTTATGGAGAGTTTTAGAAATTTCACCCGTTGAAATCATGAGTCGATTGAAGCTAGACCACCATGGTGGTCATATCAGATGGGTTTTGTGGATATTATAGTAATTTCAATGGTTAAGATCGTGGATGTGCACTGTTGAAGAGTCCCACAATAGGACAGAACGGCTGTCCAGTGCTTCCAGGTTTTCCATGGTGGTCTAGCTTCAACTGACTCATGATCTTAACCACTGCCTCTTTATTCCATCATATCAATGTTTAATCGTATTACAGATCGACTATATGTGAAATTTTTAAAGAATACATAAACTACTTAGATCACTAGACTAAAGTACACGTTATATTTTAGAAACTGGTTAGTTCACAGAAATCCAAAGCATACACTTCATTCTTTAGACAACTCTCTTCATCTTGATACAATTGTTCCATATTGTTAATACATCTGATGAAACTTCAATAAGCAATATTGTAGTGTTCATTCAGTAAGCTAACAAAAATTGGTTAACTATGTTTTGAATACAAACTAAAAGAATATAAAATCCCTTCGACATATAAATTAAAGGCTACAATTTGTATAGAATTATAATGTCGATGTTTTTATTACAAACACTATCACTCATAATAACCTAGAAATCAATATATGAATCATAATTGTACACAATCATTGTTTACTAAACAAAATCAAATACTGTCCATAAACAACAAAACAAAAAAAAATGAATTAATTAAACAAGTATTCGAAATTCTTTTTATGAATTTACCTTTAATTCAATATGCATAGTTTATAATGTAACCCGTACACTAGAAAAGTGAGTTGTGATCAATAATTCTTGTTGAATTGGCCAATAATAATTAGCATCATTGTACACTGAATGTGTAGGTGTGATGACATTTGAATAATAATAATAATAATAATAATAATAATAATATTAAAAAAACTATTGAGCGTAATCAGGTGAAATTATAAGTCTTATCAACTGGTCTCATCTATGATGATAATATATTTATATGGCCATCGTTTCAATTCATTTTTGTTTCATATGATTACTTAGTTATATGTTGAATAGTAACTGTATTCATTCTGTGTTGTTTTCTTCTCTTCTTTTCACTTTTATATATTTAACATATGAATAATTATGCATTAAATAAAAAAGAAGATAATTTCACTTCAATTACTTTAGCGGATTATTTCGATGCATTAACAAAACAACCAAAATCATTTCGTGGAACGTCTTACAGCCTATTACCACGTGAAATTATCAGTCATTATCAAATGCCCAGGAATCAATCACATTTATCAACATCTTCTATATCTACATCATCGAAGCAACAATTTGACGCTGATCACAATAATAAATCAGCCAATGAACAAATAAATAATAATAGTGATAATAATAATAATAATAATAGGATTTCAAATTACAGTAGTAGTACCAGTAACAATGATAGTAATGAACCATCATTTCCAGTGGATTACTTTAACTATCTAAAGAAGAGACGTGAGTTTCTTACTGATCGATTGTTAAGTCGATATACTGAATTAATAAATTTATTAAATGAAGAATTGGTAAGTGGAATTATTTTCCCGATAATTATTTCTTTATATTACTGAGGTTAAATTTTGTTAAATAATTGAATATTTACATGTGTATTCAATGCACGAATGTTGATTTCTAAATATTTACTAATTCAAATGTAAGTTTTTCCTTGGGATTTTCGCCCTAAGTACAAAATTTGTTTTCCAAACGTGTTTAATTTTAAGTCAGTCTGTACAGTTGGCATATAATTTTCGTTTTCTCACACGGTATTTGATTATTCGATTTAACTTCTCCACCATGAAGTGGCATCACTCACTTGTACATTGAAAATCTGAAGTGAAAATAGAACGTGTGACAGAAAATCTCAATGAATGAAATAATGAATCTAGATGATAGGCTACTAATATTCCTCGATCATCTAAAGGAAAGTGGCAGTGATCAATATTATAAAGCAGAACTTACATATGGTTATGTGGATTCTCAATTGATCAACAGTTTGATTAAAGTTTCTAGAGGAGAAGTTCGAATTCAAAGTCAGTAACAGTGAAGTAGAAGGATTCCCTCATTGCCTCTTGAGTTTTGAGATTATTGATAACCTCTAGTCTCCTGCGCCATCAATACTTCCACTGTTATTAATTGTAATACTTAAGGATTCATCTTACTAGTTTCACCTAGTCGCGTTGGTGTTGCATGACAAGTTGAGTTTATTCTCATGTTTTCAACTGTATGTTCTCAATCTCTTACTGGAGCAGTTCGGCTTTCCTTCGAGAAGCTTCACTTAGCGTTCAGCATGTCTTCGAATAGCATTAATTGACGCGCTAACCACCTCCAGGATTGCCTTATGAACATTAGGATCATTTGGTACAGTTTTGGGCTATTGTCAACCCTTTTAACAATGTGGGAGGTTGATTATGAATACAGTGGTTTTGAGTGCTGTTAGAGGTATGAGGGTGGTTATCACTTCCCGGTTGCTCACATCGTGGAAGGGTTCTTCTGGAGGTACCTGAAAAGGAAATTGATTGGAGGTGGTCTTAGTGACCTGAGAGCGTGACCGCAGTGCCCAAGGGACAACTGCTTGAGGTCGGTCACACACGACCTTTTTATGGGTGATTTTTGTGTTGCAGCCAGTATAGCTCGGTTGCTTCATCACAATAGGCAAGCCCGACCACCACGTCAAGGTAGCAACAACGGTCGGGATGGTTGGAAGAAGGCTAGGGGCGGCCAAACCAAAACGTGGCATCAGTGCTTGAAGTCACTAACTTCTAGTCTGAGCCATGTTGGTAGATGCAGACTACTTGGTTGGGGTCCGTGTGACTATCGTAACCAATGGTTGGAGACTGTGTGTGACATGGCTCTGAATCCATCACAATGGCGTCGGTGTATACACTCTCTATCTTCCCTTAAACTATTAGATTAAAATCACTTCATATCTTTCTTTCTACGTACAAATTCTTTCTTCGTGTACTATATCCTTACTGGAATCTTTCCTTTATATATTACCACCTCTGAATTGACTACTTCTATGAATCCGATGTTCATCTTGTTGTGTTAATGAGGTATGGCAACTTGGACCGATGCATATATGTGCCTGGTCCTACGTTGTAGCTGACTGACTGACTGACTTTAACAATGTTATAATACACTCTAAACACCAGGTTTCGGGGCCATTACAAACTAAAAACCGTTAGAACGGAGTGGAAATCTCGATAGAGCTGAGGCATGGAATTAAACAAAGATCAAAATGAATGAAAATAGTATAAACCATCCTGAATTGAATCTACAATCAAATGTAATATTATGTACAGTAAATTCACGGATTATAAAATCTGTAGGGATAAGCACTTAAAACGAGTATTTCGAAATCTTTATTTCCTTCGTTGTTAATGATCGTGATTTTTTGTGAGAGGTGTTATACCTCCTAAATGTCCATACATGTGGTTTTCTCAGGGAACCATCAATGAGCCTTTGACCCTGACTTTAGATGTTGTTTCATGATAAGCAATGACCAGACTGACTTCATGCGCCATTCGTTAGTTCAAATCGTATAAACAGTGTACTATAACCTCTTTAAAATGGCAGTTATTTCAACCCACTAGGTAAACCTACCGTATACACTAACTTTAACTAAAAGTACTGCGCTTACCTCTGATTCGTATGAAAACCATGGCCATATGAAAGCTTCCTTGAAAAGTGCAGTAGACGCATATCCACGGAGAAGTATTTCAAGAATGGAAGCTGACTACCAATGATCAGTTGTACCAGAACACGTTCAGTTTGTAATAATGATTTAAACTCGGTGTACATATTTATCTACGGGTTAAAAATATTACTTATAAATAAAGTTATTGGATAGTTATACCTTAAAATGTTAAAGTAGTAGTGGAAAACCCTTGCAATCATTTCATTCATTCGTCGTACTTTAATATGAGGGGAAAAATTGTACAGGAGAGGGTGTCTTTTACAACTAATGATAAATTATTGAATATCTAAGCAAAAGAATCGCCTGCAACCAATTGGTTTGTAAACAACTGACTGTCTTGAAGATACCCTTCGTTTTAGATTAGAAATTAAAGAAACACCGATAATAAAGAAGTTCCGAACCGTTAACTCATTCTAAATTAATGACCTTTTCATTCATTACTCTCTAGTTGATTTCAAATTCATTTCTCGCATTTTCTCATTCAATTTATTGATAATGAATTTTAAACTGAATAAAAAATCCCCTTCCAAATGATTTTTGATTTTATTTGGATTATCTTGCCAACTATGAAAATAATCTCTCATAAAAATATCATAATATAGAAACAAAAAATCTATTTTACAAGGGAATAGAATTAATAAGAATCATAATAAATAAAGATAATTAATTATGTAGGTAACAATTATTCCGTTAATTAATATAATTAAAACCAGTTAAGATCAATAAATACATTTTTCAGAAGTCTAGACTAATATATTAGGTCGTTTTGTAGAAGTTTTCTTGTATATTAAAGGTAACAGCTAGCTAGCGATGACTATAATTATAATACCGTTGTATACTAGTCAGAGTTAGGCAGCTATTTTGGTCTTGTTTTGAAATTCTAAACTGATTGCACTCGTGACTTCATGCTGAAATGATTCCAACATTTTTTTTGATCTATCTCTACATTACTGTAAAGAAATCTAAGTTGAATTACTTACTCACTTACTGACTTACGCTTGTTACTCCAAATGGATCATAGACCGCCGATCAGCATTCTCCAAGTCACTCTGTCCTGGGTTTTCCTTTCCAGTTCTGTCCAATTTTTGTTCATTTTTCTCATGTCTGTCTCCATTTCTCGGCGTTATGTGTTCTTTGGTCTTCCTCTTTGGCCTTGAGAATTCCATGTGAGGGCTTGCCTTGTGACGCAGTTCGAATTTGAATTACTACTAAACAATAATCTAACTAACATAAAACTATATCCATAATCAGGTTTTTGATATAATTATATTCATAACGGTGTTTATTGTTTATGACTCGTATTTTTAAATATCATCCTTGATATGTAAGCTCTTAACAGTTATTATTTACAAGTGAAATGTTTACTTAATACATAGATGAATGTTAAACCACTTAACTGATAAATCGTAAAAATACTATGCGTTATTAGACTTCTTCGTAGAATAGGACCTTGACTAGTGAAATTTGCAGCATATTGATCATACTATTTCATTTAAATAACACTTCCTTGTAGATTTCCTAATCAACCTACATTTTAAAGTTATAAGGATAAAAAGAACTAATCAGGTGTTTGTAAAATTATTTTAAATTGGACGTAATCTATAAAGTATCAATTTAAAATACTGTCACGAATCTATGTATGTTTGTACCGACATTCGGCTGCGAGCAGTTGGCAATTGTCAAAATTATATTTTTGTTATCTGTTGTATGGACATTGTCTGGGAAGTAATTTTAACAACTAGTATTAATATCCCAAATCAAGACTGCCATATAGAATTTTATTTACATTATAATACCTTGGTGACCCTCCAAAAGTTGTAATGTAAAATACTTCATTTTATGTATCGTTATTCTATTCTTTTGAGATCTGATCAATCCTAAACGATAAAGTTTACCTTCTTTTTGTACCGTCCCCATCAATGTTTAACATTTTTCACTATTATGAATACCACTACATTTTTACTCTTTCGCTATAAATTTCGTTAATTTCGACTTGTTTTGTGGTTATTATATGACAACCTGAACTGAAGTAATAACCATGGAGACTTAGCTGCATTGTGTTTCTGGGATACGATAGAGTCACCGTGTCAGCGAATTTAGAAGTCTAGAGAGCAACAAGGATTTTTATGCAGTTTAAGAAATTATCACTGCCAGACCTGCATAAAACAGCAAAGTGGTTAGCTGACAGTATAAAGCGACTGACATAAGTATATTTTCATCGTATTGCTATGTGTTAGTTTGCCTTAACTCCATGAATATGGTTCAAGGAACCAGTGAACCCATTGCTGTATGACGTTGTTTAGCATTAGTTGCTCCTTGCTTAAAACAATTTCCAGAGTATGAGGATCTCACTCCACTCCGTACGGTGTCATATGTGAGGGTCGTATAAGAAAACAAAATAAAATTAACTATTCTATACCCTGATAATTTAATATTTTATCTTTAGGTTGGTCTTTAAATCAAATCCAAGAATGAACTAGATACTCATTACATGAGAGGTATTGAAAAAATGCAAAAGGGAAATTTTGGTAAACTTTGTGATTGATCTTCAGGAAAAAATCTTATGCTAACGGTTGCAGAAAAGACGTTTACTATGCCTAGCTACTGTGATTTCGTGCTTAAATTTACTATTTGTTGATTATGTTAACTTTGGAATCACCAGTCCCTATAATAATGATAGTATACATTTGTCCAAAGAATATAATTGGTCAACGTTTTTATTACATGAAAACATTTCATCACTGATAAGCAGTGTTAAACTTTAGTTTCGATTGTTAACCGGTATTATGCTGTCAGAATCAAAGACAACAGTTTTTCTCAACTGCTTAC